TGTTGTTGTTGTTGTTGTTGTTGTTGTTGTTGTTGTTGTTGTTGTTTTTGTTGTTGCTTGTGCATTCAGGCTGTCATTTTAGTCCTGCGTAGTATTTGCATTATTTTAGGATGCATAGGCCCTTTGCATGCCTCTTCCTTCGGATTGCTGATGATGGCGGTTGGCAGCGTTTCAATTCGTACCGTTAAAAACATCAGATGCCTCAAAGTCAGGTATCCGAATACCCTGAATTTTGAGGGAGACGCAGTGTGGTGCCTGGGATAGCTTTGGCAAACACGGTCAAGGAATGCTGCGAATGGAGCTCAACAAGAAGGCCGTGTTCTTGTCTATTGGAAACCTAGTTCGCTGGGGGTCTCTGACATGACGAACCAGCTTGGGAAGGTGCAAGATTTCCTGAGCTCTTAAACATGCTTCGACTGGATGGCCCAATGCCATTCAATTGTCAATGCAACTGCTGTGTTGCTATGCCTCTTTTTCACCTCTGGGTCTGCAAAGATTTTGTGTGTGGACTGGACTTGTGTAAGTACCCAGTTGCGAGTTCGGTTCCGAATTGAATCCACCTAAAGGTAGAAAACACAACGAAATAGAAAGAATTTTCTTATAGTCAAGCTTTCACATTCAAGTCATTCGCAGCTCTTTAAAGAACTCGTTGTTATTCCCATGTCGGAGTAGTTTGGCGCCCCAGCGTTACAAGCTCAAGGAGTTTAGTTGTTCCATCTAAACATGATACCTAAAGCCTCCTAAAAGCTGGTGTTTCTTTCTACTTTGGCACTTTCTTTCTTTAGACCTTTGGAATCCTTTAGACCTGTCTTTACAAACTGAAAAAATGGGATGTAAAAACGAAGCTCAGCTGGCCTTCATCGTGAAAATGCTGTGCGATCGGCTGCTGCGCGCATTCACACGAGTCTCAGCGACCCGTCGCTTTTCCTGGGCGAGGTGCCACTCTTGGGCGAAGCAACGAGGAGCGATCGAACGCTACGTTCGGGGCGCTCCTGGCCCTAAATACTAGGAGCAAAGGACGCTACGAACGGAGCAAAGGGCATCGCTACGGATCTAGCAAGAAGCTTCAATAGAATCCTAACAGCATGATAGCCATGGGCTCCAACCCTGAAGAAGTCTCCAAGCACAGAAGAAAGGGAGACTTCTTAGTAGTAGCATCCTTGCTCCTAGTAGTAAGGCCAGGGGCCCCTAGTAGCGTCCTGGAAGAATCTTCGAAGAGTCCGAGTTCGATCAAAAGAAGAAGTGAAACAAATCGAAGCATTCTGGCAGAAATGGTGAGGCGCAGGGTCGTCTAAACTTGCAGAGCATTTCATGTTTAAAACACCTGGATCAGAGAGTCCATCGGTGTCCAGATTGAAAGCATTCATCTCCAAAGAAATAGGATTCTTGTTACCTCTAGTAAAGGGCAGTGAAATGCAACACAAAATGGCCTAGACGCCTGCGTTTTTGAGTGCAAGCTTGCAGGTTCCGCAATCTCTTTAAGCTCCGCTTTTTGAGGAAGCCCGTACCGTGGCACCAGAGATGGCGCGACCAGAGTTCATTGGCGCTGATGATTGGCCATAATAGGCCGCCCCCACCCCCCCATGCTGCGAAAACCGCTTCTTTCGTTCATTCGCACCGTTCGTTCGCCATGAGAAAGTCATGTCCAGTCTCGCCCGAGCACCCAGACTTGTGCTCTGCGGACCACCTCGAGGATGTCATCCATGGAATGAACAGGAACCTGAAAGAAAAAGACCAAAGAAGACGCCAACACCCTAAACAGTCAATGCTTATCATGCTTTCCTAAGCAAAACTGTTCGAAGAAGCGCCAGAGGCCCTTACATGAGTAGCAAAATGACTTAAGAAATATCTGCATTGCAGACCTGTAATTGGCAAGGTCAAGCTTGGTGAACAGCTTCAGATTCAACTCAGGTTCCCACTTCTGATAGGCCTTGGCAACACACTCCTCGGCCACCTCCGATATCCTGCAGTTCGAAGCCCCGGAGACAACCCCAACTGCGTCTTCCGGGGCTGAACCAGGCAATAGCAGCCAGTGTGTTTGTATTGGCAGCGGTATTGTGTGCGACCAAAGGGGCTGCCACACAGCCTGTGGCATGACAACCTGTGAATTCCTTGTCTCCTGTGGTCCTCTTTCATGTACAAAACCGTCCCAACTCGTCGTCCAAAGCGTTTTGTTCGGATCCCTTCCGCCTTCAAATCCAACTTCTGATGCCGATCTGTTGGAGCGAGGAGGTCACTCAGCTCCTCGACTCCAAGAGTTTGGTTCCAAGCACATCAACCAGGTTCCAAGAAAAATCGAGTTCTAACGTGTTTTCTCTTTCTCTGAAGTCCGGAGGTCTACGTTCGACGAAATCACCTCATTGTAAATCTCCAGATAGGATACCGTGACAGAGCTGTCAGTGAATTCTGAGGTGGCCTGAATGCGACGCTGGGCAACCGAGCGACTCGTCAAGAAAAACAAAACAAATTTATGTTTTGAGACGTTCTCAGTGTCTTGAAAAAGCATCCCAGTGCTAGGAGCAAAGGTAATGAAAGAAACGAGTTCAAACTCTCAAGTTGAGGCAACGAATGCATTCACGAGGAAAAAACGCTATTATATAGATTGGAGGCCATTTATCGCTATTAGGTTGGAGGCCATTGCTAGGCCCTTGCTATTGGGGTTCTTCATTGCTATTCACCGTTGAGGCAACGAAACCGTCTCAAGTGCCCCAACCAAGGCTTCCAAAACGGCTGCTGCTGTGCGAGGCACCAAGCCGCGGCCTGCAGTTGACTGCAGTCGAAATCAACAGTCGAACACACGTGCTCTGTTCGTAGCGTCCTTTGCTCCTAGTAGTAAGGCCAGGAGCCCCTAGTAGCGTCCTTTCCTCCTAGTAGTAAGGCCAGGAGCCCCTAGTAGCGTCCTTGCTCCTGGTAGTAAGGCCAGGAGCCCCTAGTAGTGTCCTTGCTCCTAGTAGTAAGGCCAGGAGCCCCTAGTAGCGTCCTTGCTCCTAGTAGTAAGGCCAGGAGCCCCTAGTAGCGTCCTTGCTCCTAGTAGTAACTTGCTCCTAGTAGTAAGGTGAGGAGCCCCTAGTAGTGTCCTTGCTCCTAGCTAGTAGTGTCCTTGCTCCTAGTAGTAAGGCCAGGAGCCCCTAGTAGCGTCCTTGCTCCTAGTAGTAAGGCCAGGAGCCCCTAGTAGCGTCCTTGCTCCTAGTAGTAAGGCCAGGAGCCCCTAGTAGTGTCCTTGCTCCTAGTAGTAAGGCCAGGAGCCCCTAGTAGTGTCCTTGCTCCTAGTAGTAAGGCCAGGAGCCCCTAGTGGTGTCCTTGCTCCTAGTAGTAAGGCCAGGAGCCCCTAGTAGCGTCCTTGCTCCTAGTAGTAAGGCCAGGAGCCCCTAGTAGTGTCCTTGCTCCTAGTAGCGATGCCCTCCGTTCCTAGTAGCGGCCTTGCTCCTAGAAGGAAAGGAAGAGAGATGAAGAGAAGAATAATTGAAAAAGAAAGGAAGATGGTCTCCCCTTACCTTCCTCTCTTTCCTCCAATCCATTCTTGTCTTCCAAAGTACGACGCAGCTGAGACCATGTGTGTTTTGTCGAGAGATAACACTTTTCCCACTCTGTCCTTCGGCAGAATCAAGTTGGCCCTCCATCCTGGCAAAAAGCCAAGCAAGGCTGCAAATCGTGAGAAGGATTATATTGCTTTTATGTTGGTTGTCTTTAATTGCTTTCATTGTTCTTCTTTATCCCTCTTTTTTAGTCCACTCCTACTCAATTAAGTAGGCACCTCATCAATCAAGCAAAGCGGCTAGTTCGCTAGTTCGGCTAAGTTAACTCCTACCTACTGGACGCAGGAGGACGCTCATGCTTCTTCAAGGAAGCTCCAGGCGCAGGGAGCTTCCTTGAAGAAGCGCTCGCACTGATTTCGTTCCTAGATGTTTTAGAGAAACCGAAGCAAACTAACTATACGAGACCGGCCAAAGTGAGCGAGTCAAACGTGTCAAGCTTACGTGTACCTCATCAATTCGCTGCTTTAACTTCCGAACGACGTGCATTGCGCTTTGTGAGACAAGTCCCGAGTTCCAAGCGTTTTGCCAGTACCAGTCTGTCCATACGCAAAGGCAGTGGTCTCGTAGCCAGCTAAAACCTTGGACGGACCGAACCCTCGCTTCCTCTTCGTCTTGGTCGCTCCGTCTTGTCTTCACTGTGTCTTAGTTTCAACCAAGGGCGCTGCTTGCCCCACTAGTGGTTGCAGGGTTGCTCGAAAGACATCTTCTTGCGAGCTGAAGGAAGTGAGCACATCGTCGAAGTGAAAAGTGGATCTTACCTTGGAAGTGAGCACATCTTACCTTCATCATTCTCATAATGGAGCGAAGAACAGTGAGCACGTTCGTTTCTCATATTTCCTAGATTGGGTTGGAGGCCATCGCTAGTAGGTTGGAGGCCATTGCTATTAGACCTATTTTGTCCTTTTTCTTTTTTCCATTCTGCATGTACATTCATCAAGTCCAACCCGCCTGGCGAGTACCACCAGCTAAGATTCGTACCTTCGCAGACTGAAATGGAACATCCTTTGAATGAATATTGCAAGAAACCTCCATAAGAAATGGTCATAGACTACACGGAAAAAGGATGAAAAAGTACGAAATTGCTTTGGTTGGCAAGGCTTGTCTCTGACGGCTCACCACAGCAACTTCTTTGCGCTCGGTTGAAGCTGTGGCTGCTGGCGTGGCACCTGCCTGGCTTTGACGCTCGGGCCAGCCATACATGGAATGTCATGAAATCCAAAAAGGGCCTCCAACCTAATAGCAATGGCATCAACCAACTAACGATGGCCTCCAACCTAGTAGCGATGGCCTCCAACCAACCAGCAATGGCCCCCAACCTACTAGCGATGGCCTCCACCTACTAGCGATGGCCTCCAACCGACAAGCATGGAATGTCCTGAAATCCAAAAGAGCAATACTGTGAATGCTTTGCTATCTCACCTTCTTCTCGCGCTCGTTCATTGGACGAATGCGGCACACGACACGAACATTGGCCGTGGGTATCTGCACAAATGCGGTGAAGCACTTGCCACAAAGCATGACAAAAGACAAAGATGCTTATAAAGAAAGGAACGGGAAAGGAAGAAAGGTCCAAAGAAAGAACATAATGATAAAGAAAAATGCTTTACGAAACAGCGAACCGAACCCTATGATCAAATTGACCAACCCCGCAGGCTGCCGAAACCCGAATCCCCACCTCAGGACCACTGGCTCCAGTAGGTGTCGCAGGGCGGCTGCGGGTGTGCCTTCCCACAATGAGTATAAACAGTGTTGATACGTGCGTTTCTTGTGCAAGACGTCTTCTTAGTGCTCAAAATCAATCACTGCTCTTGTGAAAATAATTCAACATATAAAATGTGTCTTTAGCCACCTCCGCATGGGTACTACAACCGGTTCGATTGTGCAACGGCCCGAATGGCCCTATTCGAACACATAAAAGGTTCAAAACAAAAGGAGAACACGTTTTCTCCCAACTGAGCTGGCCTGAGGCACGCGCTTCCGCGCTCAGGATATGAATCAGGCTCGTACATGTTTCAGACGAGACAGAAACCTTTAACTTGAACCAAGCTGAACCAGCAGGGACACCAAAATCCACGTGCTGTCTGACTGCACCACACAAAACAAACGTGCTGATGCCTTAAGAATGGTAGTCCTGGACAAGCTCATCTAGTTAGGACCATTTCAGACCTATCAAGGGTTCAGAAATGTCTCACTTTAACTACAAAAGGTTTGAACAGCATTGTGCTTTTCTCATGCACAAAAAGGCGCAGACCTGCACTGAAAATGTCGAAGATTCTCCGGAATAAAACAAGAGTTTGCATTCTTGAATGCTTCCCCACCGGACCAACCAATTAAAATCAATAAATCCGTGGCCTGGCTGGTTCAATTCATGGATGAGATGAATTGCAAACGCATTTTACGTCATTGGCTTTCACACCAATATGCGTCACGAGGTCTAGTTTCCAAACAGTTCCCATACAAAATCCAGCAGGTAGCCAAACAAACAGCGCCAGCAACACACTTAAGTTGGTCCGGTGGAGGCCATTTGCTACTAGGTTGGAGGCCATTTGCTATATAATAGG